ACTGGGTGTTTCTTCTTCACTCACTATGTGCTAACAGACCTCTCTGCACTGAATCATACTTGTTATTGATCTGTCTCTCTTCCACAGCATGTCTTCATCCCGTCTTCCTCCCTGAGCCTGACAAACAGCTCGTTTATTCAAACAGTAACCATGTTCGTAGCATCAGTGACGAGAGCGCAGCGTCCACGTGAGCATGCTTTCATCACACCGTTGTTTCCATCTCGTGACTTTGTTCATCATGCAGATTGATGTAGACTTATCTCATCAGTCTTTTTTCTGAAAGTTTGACCTCGGTGACCTTCAGTCCAGAGATGTTGTGGCGGTCAGTGTTCAGTGCCGCCGCCCGGCCGACCTCACCTGCAGCTCTCTGAGCCAAGAGGTGAGAGCCACTGCTGCAGACTCCACCCCCTGCTCGACCACGTGTCAATCAGATGAACCTGAGGTGTCGCAACGATTGCGGTGTGAAGAAATGTGAACTTTGACCTCTTGGGCCAGCTTCCAGGTGAATGAGGGTTTCTCGATCCTGCCCACGTCGGTATTTTGTCGTCTTGTGGAGGCGCTGATGATGAGCAGAATCTGATGCAGCTGTTTAATACGCCAACTGTTCATTTCTGTTAAAATTACATGTAAACAAAAAGTCTCCACAGTCCATGAAGTTAGCGCTGGACCACATCTTATAGATGAATGTTTCATTAATCGGTGGCTCTAATCGGCGTTCGTTCAGCTCACCATTGATCAGTTGGTCATTCAGAGAATGGTCGGCAGGTCGGCGCTATAATAAGATTGTGTTATTTAAAGTGAACAGACGCACTGCTGCTGCTGGTTATATACACGGGCAAACTAAAAAAAGAATAAATAAAGAACATATTTATCAGTCATGTGTAATATTCATACAGGTGTGTCTGTATGATGCTTCCTGTTTCCTGTACAGGTGTGTTTGATGTGGGACGATGAACGGCGTCTCCGTGGCTGTGAGTTGGAAACAGATCATGTGACCAGCTGTGACACCCCCACAGTGTTCATTACTGTGTGAGCTGGTGATTTTCCATATTCATGTATGTTTAGAGAAATCATCTTGTACCCTCAGAGCTCTGTGGTCTGACACTCAGGTGGGCTGGTTGGTGTCCTGGCCTCTGTGGGACATTAAACTCTCACTTTGAGGGATGAAGGTCGGGACGTTTTAGCATCGCTGCTCAGGTGTTGGAGGGTAAATTGGCTGCTGAGGATGTGGAGCTCAGGTGAGCTCAGACTGACGATGATGATGGAGGATGTGTGATCTGTAGCAGCTGGACGTCTGTAGAAAGCACGACTGAATCTTCTCTAAAAGCAGCTGAAACTGTCACGCTTTACAAACGCGTCAGCATGCAGCTGCAGGCTGATGTTCTTCAGACACCATGAACCATCATCACATGTTCATGGATCGCCTTCATGCTCCACCTCAGTCCAGCAACAGGATCTCACCTCCTTCATCATCATCCGTGATGGTGGTGGCATAGCTCAGGAGGTGGAGCACGTCATCTGCTAATCATAGATGATGGTTTGATCCCTGGCTGCTCCAGTCAGCGTGCCAAGATACTGAAGGTTGTTCTCGACGCGTTCATCGAAGCGTGGCCGGACGCAGCGCAATAACGGTTTACCGCTACGCCGAGCAAAGCACCAAGCACGGCAGCGGAGTACTCGCGCATGCCGCAGACTTGAACTTTGACCCCTGCATGCTGTAACATACCTTCACGTGGCCAATAGAAACAAAGCCTTCAGTTCAACCACACGGTGTGTGTCTGAGGCCGATGAACTGATACAGGTTTACGTGCATCTGTGGGGACCTCCAGAGCCTCCTTATAAATAAAACTGAATTACAAAGTAGAGGACACAGAGTAGACCCACAGTCACCCTCAGAGTCCAGACCCACAGACCCACAGTCACCCTCAGAGTCCAGACCCACAGACACCCTCAGAGTCCAGACCCACAGACCCACAGTTACTCTCGGACACCTGAAGGACCGAGCGTGATGTGTTTAAATACAGATCAGAAAACGGTGCTAGAAAAACATCTAAAACATTCGGACCCTCGTCCCTTAAAAGGAGCTGAAATTTTGCATCATTCCTACTAAGCAGGGAATCTTTCCACTGGAATTCCCGAGATGGTCAGGTGGGATCAGCTTTAATGATTAACTAATTTTTGTGGCCTTGAAGACACGGTGCTGAGGTGAGGTTTCCACCATCAGGTAAGGGCAGGTGAGTTGACTGGCAGGTCAGCAGTGATGTTTCATGGATGTTTGGATGCAGTTTTTCTTCCTTCAGCAAAATCTGGAAGTCTCTGATCCATCTGTGGGTGCCGGACCTGAATCTGAATATGTTTCTGTTAACAGGAGCGAGGGAGGGAACCCTCTGCCTGCAAATAGCAAAGGTCCGGTAGTAAAATGTCTGCAGGTTTTACCCTGCATGTGTCTGTGCCAGTAATGTCACGCTCTCGGGCCTCGCCCCCCGGTTTGGCACCGGTTCAGTTCTCTGTGTTACAGCATGTTAGCATCAGAACAGGTGCAGCCGATTAGCTGCGTGACCCTCTGCGCCTTCACCAAAGCTCATCTCTGATTGGCTCGAGGAGTGTTCTTTGGGCGGATCTTGAGAGAGAGCTCCCACAGCGCCTCCTCAGCCAGGTGATCGCTGAAGTCGTTAAAGAAGGAAATGATGTCATCATCGGGCAGCAGAGAGTAGCTCCTGCAGAGAGAAACAGCTTCAGCATACAACAATACAACCATGAGGTACTCCTAATGATTGAGGAACTGCTCTGTAGGTAACTGACACTTGCTGGTAGCTCCTCAGGGTGTCCAGGATGTTAAACTGCTGCCAGCGTTTGGAGAAGTTAACCTTTGAACCCTGTGATGTCATCAAAGTGTCGGGATTCCCAAGGTGGACAAAAGTCAAGTCCTGCAGAATCAAACCCCTGAGAGAGAGAGAGAGACGGCAGACAAAGCATCAGCCTTCAGACCTGAAACATGAAGCTGCAGTTCCTCTGACGTCCAGCAGAGGCAGCAGTGAGGCAGTCCCCATAGACTCCAATGTTAAAACTTTACAGCAGAAACAAACATGTTTACAGCCAGATACACAAACTGGTCTGTGGATAGCTTCCTCCTTCATAACGCCTGCTTACATTGTATTGTTAGGGGCGTGGCCTCTTTGACTGACAGGTGAATGGTGACACAGGTGGCTGTAGCTGCCAGCCAGGCTAAACCTCAGCCAATTGGAGATCCTGAACTGGACCTCTGGACTGTGTTTGTGCTGTTGGAGCCTTTTATCTGAGCAATAATGTGGCTGCTGTGAGGCTGACCACATAGACACGTTCTACATTAGGGTTACTGCCCAACAAGTAGGGTATTTACGTACAGGTAGGGTATACAGGGAGGCTCTACTTCAGCCAGAGCCGCTCTGTAGGCTCTGAAAGAGGATGAACTGTCGATCAAGGTGCTGAACTCCTCCAGAGCCTGAAGCCAAACAGACATAAAACACTGTTAATGCACTGAGGCGAACCGATGAAATAATCCCAATGAACTCGGTCTGACCTCTGAGGTGCTTTTCTGCCAGTCCAGGCGTCGCAGAGGGGCGGAGTCCAGCGCTGACAGGATTGACAGGTACGAGTTAAAGTTATTGAGCTTCCTCAGGTGCTGCAGGAAAAAAGAACATGTGCGGTTTGACAAGATGACATGACAACAGACCACAGTCTGGAACCACAAATGGACACACAGATGTTGTAATGATGCAGTGAGTTTGTAAAAATAAATCTTTTTATTCCAGTTTGTCAGTCTAATAAGTTCTGGTGTAGCTGCTGTCCTCCCCGACTGGAGGGCCAGCTTTGAATACAAATGAAGAGACAAAAGGACTTTTTCTACTGCGGACTCTAACGACCTTCATGATCTTCAGGAACTTCAGCAGCAGCCTCTCTCTGTCGTGAGGTTTGTCCTGAAGGATGATGACGGAACGAACCCTGAAATCACAAAAAGAAGGTTCATTAGTTTCAGAAGCTTCTCCTTCTCTGCCTGTCCCGTCCCTGCTCCTGTCTGTTTGCACTGACATAACTTGAAAGTAAAACAAATGAATAATAAAGGTCAAACAAACTATGACAACCAGTATGGCACAA